GGCAAGGGATATGCGCAGCAGAAACCAGAGATCAGAGTGGAGACGATCCTCGGTTGGATTGTACTTTCTTGCATAAGGAAAAGAGAATTTCGTGACTTGCGTGTCACGGGGAGGAAGTTAGTGGGATATTTGGATCATGATTTGGGTGACCTTTGGAGGCTCAGCTGTGGAGTCAAAAGCTGACCTGGTGCCCAGTCTCGAAGAGGGATATGTGATGAGCTAGAGCTTATCCTGATGATGTCGGAGGACACCTCAGAGGGAGTGAACGATTCAGACGCTCAAAGACATGCTTCGGGCATGTGTATTAGATTTCGGAGGGTGTTGCGGCACGTATTTATCCTTGGTTGAGTTATCCTATTTCAACAGCCATCATTAGTGCATTGGTATGCCACCCTTTGTGCTGTTGTATGGGAGGAAGTGTCGGACCCTCATTTGCTGAGGAAAGTGTCGATTCGCGGAAGTGGAAGTTGTAGTGAGAATGGATGATTTGGAGTCTGATGGTCGAACATTGTGTCTGTGACAGTGGTATGGAATGACATCATGATGGGATGTCTGCTGAGGATGCGGAAGGGATTCCGCGGGTGTAGAGCCAAGAGTCTCAGGATGGATGTAGGGATGGAGTCTGGGACTCCCAGCTTGATTCTGATCAAGGGTCGTGTGCGTAGTGGTGGTGTCTCCTGGGGACGTTAGAGATGTCATCAGTGCGACGGGTTCTCCTAACCCGAGAGTGCGAAGGTTGGTGCGGCTTGGGTGCTTGAGTGCAAGAAGAGGACTCATGAGATTTGCTCTGGGATTGAAGAGTGGGCCTTTCTGTCGTCACGGATTGGATAGGATGGGATTTGGATCGGGGATCCGATGGTTCATGGCTTCTAACCTTATGGGTCAAGTGATTGTTGAGATTTGGATCAGTGATGCTTCATGGGTAATTCTCGGATCGTTGAGTGTGGTTATCTGAGGGTACATCCGGTGCCCGGTTCGAGACAGTGGTCAGGACACCGTAAGGAAAGGGAAAGTGTGTTCGAGTTTCGATGGGTATGCCTTGTAAGAGCGGGTCCGATTAAGGCCAGGTGGCACGTTGTGGGAGTATTTCTGGAGTTGAGTTGTTGTAGGCTTCGAGGGCGAAGCCTAATTTAAGTGGGGGAGAATTGTAACATCCCGAAATATCAAGAGTAGAGTTGAAGGGCTAAAAGAGTAAATTGGGAAAGAGTGACTCGGCGAGTCCATGTGCGGACTCGGCGAGTAGAGTCGCGACCTGGTCGCGTGTTAAGTGGCCGACTCGGCGAGTCAGTGTAATGGACTCGGCGAGTAGGCGCTGAGTGGAGAAAACCCTAATTCTCGGGGTTGAGCCTTATATAAAGATCACTATGTTTTCCTCCCAGCCTCTTTATCACCCCTTGAGCCCCAGAAAACCCTAAATCACGGAGAAGCACCATTGTTGAGTGGATTGGAGCTTGGAGAAGTAATGGTTGAAGGAATTTTGGGAAGATTGAAGGCTTGGAGCAAGGGGATTTGCTTGGATTCGAATTTCATTGCAGTTGGGGCATCACTTAGAGGTAATATCTCGTTATTGACCTGTTGTTATGTTGTTTCTTCATTTTGGGTTTGTGAGAAATTGTCTATGGATGAAATGGGAAGTCTAGAGGTTAGATCTGAGGTTGCTACCTCAGATCTGGAAGGGAGAAGAATCAGAGAGCATGAAAGTCCCTGTGTTGGAGTGTTTAGTGAAGCTTACATGTCCCAAACCCTAGCCCCAATGTGCAAACGGCTTAGATCTCTTTGGATTCACGTAAAGTTTGCCACTTTACGTGATGGATGGGTTGTAGGAGGCTAGATCTATGTTTTGGATCAATTGCATGGCCTGGAGTGCTTCTGAATGGATTCAGAACGGTGGTACTCGGCGAGTCACATGGGTCGACTCGACGAGTTGCTTGAAGATGGCCTGGAACTCGACGAGTTGGAAGAACAACTCGGCGAGTAGGTTGAAGATAGCCTTGGACTCGACGAGTCTTGTCGAAGAGTCCCAAATATTCTCTGGTTGAGCGAGAATCGGTGAGTCGAGGGATGACTCGGTGAGTCGAGTGCGAGTGGACTCAGAGTTGTTGGACTCGGCGAGTCTCGGGGTGACTCGGCGAGTTAGGTCGCAGATTGAATAAAGTTCTGATTATGGGAACTCGACGAGTCACAGGGTTGACTCGGCGAGTAGGGTCAGTCAGGGGTTGACTTAGACTGAGGACTTTGATTTCGACCAAGGGTTGGCCGTTGACTTTTAGGGTTTGGTCAGCGATGTGGCCTTTGGGCCAAGAGAGAGGTAAAATAGTCTTTTAACCATAAGAGGGTGTTATGAGAGGATTTATTCTAGTCTCGAGAGTTATATTCATGAGAGTATTTGCCTTACGTGTTAGGCGGTGGCGAGTTCGAGATTCAAGTGTGGGGATATCTGCTTCCTGCTTGCCAGGTGAGTCTTCTCACTATATTTTACCTTGAGTAGGTAACCAGAGTTATGTGATTAGAGTATTTGTATGCTATATGTACGTGATGTGTTGTACTGCATTATTTCTATGTGATTTATGCTGTGCATGTTTATAGAGTTGGAACCGGAAGGTTCCCAGAGTTAGAACCTGAGGGTTCACAGAGTTTGGGTGCACGGACCCACAGAGTTATAGCCTCGAGTGGCTAATATGTGTTATGTGTGGTATTTTGGGGAACTCACTAAGCTTCGTGCTTACAGTGTTTTGTTTGATGTTTTTCAGGTTTCTTTCAGTATCACGGGACGGCACCGGCTTGATTGTACACACCAGAGAAAGAGTCATATTTTGGAGGATCCTGGTTTTCTATGCAAGTGAAAATGGAGTTATGTTTTGTAAATCGACTATGAATAAGATTTTAAACAAGTGTTTCTAAGAGTAAAATGATTATTTTAAATGAAAAATTTGTCTTGAAATTTACGGTGTTACAACTGACTTGTCTTATATATATATATATATATATATATATATATATATATATATATATATTAAACTTATAATATTATAAAGTATAAGTGTTGAATTTTAATTTTTTAAACCCTAGGGTTTGGAATTAAAGTTTCATTAGAGGGCAAGTTTTGAAACTTTTCAAAACTTTTGGTTTGCATAACTTATGAGTTAATGTTGGTTCTATAAAAAGACTTTTGATTTTCCATAACTCGAAGACAAGTTATAGAGTTCGTTAAAACGTTTATGATAAGACTTTTCATGTTCTATAACTTGAGGACAAGTTATGGAATTCATAAAAGAACATTTAGATCAATTCTAACAAGGAAAATTATCAAATAATTTTTAATCATGATCTAAACTAACTCATAATGCAAAATAGTTTCAAATCAAATAATACAAGTAATTCGCATAAAATATAAACTAACAACTATCATAAGAATTTTGACAACTTTCTTTTGATGACGCTTGGAATTCATAATTTATGAGTTTAATATTATTTTAATAGATGAGACTTTTCATTTTCCAAAACTCGAGGACAAGTTATGGAGGTCATTAAATCAACATTTTAACAACTAAAATTATCATATAATTTAAGATTGATCTGACTAACTCATAAAAAAAATACTTTCAAATCTACAATTTTCAAGCAACTTTGTTTAACACATAAATCAACAATTTTCTTAACACTTTGACAATTATCTTGTGGTTGGATGAATACAAGCACTACCAAATCAGAAAAAAAAATAAAACATTTTTAACGATCCAAAACAGTTTGTGGTAGTGTTCCCAAGCCAATCCAGGCCAAGAAACCCAAAATTCTGCAAACAGAGCCATCCACTCGACAAGTACATGAATTAGACTCATCAAGTGGCCCTTTTACTGAGTGGACTCGTCGAGTCAGTTCAAGGACTCGGCGAGTTCACCAGTCAAAGGCCAGAAAATCGACTTTTTCAGCTTTGAAAAAATAGCAAGCATAATAAATAATAGAAAACAATCCTAGCCTCTAATACCACTGTTGGGTTTTGAGCACTATAATACTCCTATGGTGCACATACAACCCTAAATGCTTTGGATCTATGTTTTCTCTAATTATACATGCATATTTTCAATTTCCAAAGCAGATATCCTAACTAGCATACAAATTGTCAAAAGAACAATACAACTAGTTAAATAACTTACCTCTTAGAAGGACTTGTAGTTCTTAACCTTTAAAGCTTAAGCACCCCAAGTATGATGCCTCTAATGGTTCACAAACACCAATATGCAAGAGGAGGCTTGAGAGAATAAGTTACTTAACACAAAATCAATACACACTCTCAAAAAATGTTGTGGCAACTCATGCATGTCGCCGATTTTGGTTCTTAGGGGGTTTATTTATAATGTGGCAAATGCTAGGGTTACATTTTGTAAACTCTAATGACCTTTCACATTCTTATGCTCCATGGGTTAAACCTCCACGAACTATCCATGGATCATCTCATTGGTTTAGCCCATCCTAAATACCCATGGATCATTAGCCCACACTATAAGAATGATTGATTTACATAATCAATCCCTATATATTTAATTAGTCTCTTTTGATCACAAAATTAGTTCCAAATTAATTCTTGACCAATATTAATTAAATAATATGATTTCATATTAATATATTATACTAGTAATATATTAATAAATCATAAATAACCTTATTCTCAAAAGTCCATCCTATCAAATTGCACTGGTGAAGGCAACCCAAAAAGACCATGCTACAATCGGGTCAAGTACATCCCAATTATAGTTATGGACTTAGACACCAAATCCAACACTAACATCCCATACACACAGTGATCAAACAAACATTCAACCAAAAACCTGACTATACATTACAACTAGGATCTAACCATGACCATGTACCTATACACTCATACAACCATAGACTTCCCAAAAAAAGTAAACAACTTTTAACATCCACCCATACACTTTCCAAAAAACTGGTTGGAATTATACACCATCAACCATAAATACCTATTTGATCAGCTGCACTTTTCAAGGCCATTTCAACCACGTGGCAATGAGTATAATAGCCATAACAAAGATCCCACACTTCAGCAGTCTGTTTTGCTTCATCAACCCCGTCAACTGTGTCTCAAACACTTGCTTATTTGCTTCCATAGCTTGCTACACCTTAACCAACTTCTTTTGAACATTCAAAACTTTACTAAAGTCTTATTTCCTTTTCAGCTCAAACCTCATCTTACGAAGTTGTTCTTTGTAGTAACCCTCCTCCATTTCTTTGTCTTTCCACATAAAAAACTTGCATTTTGGACTTTAACTAACTAATTAAAAAGGAAAACCAAAGTTAGGGTTAGGGTTGTAATTAATGAAAATGTGTACATTCCCAACTCAAAATAATAAATACGGTGTAAGTAAACAAAAGGAATACTCACCAAAGACTTTTTGCAGTTCCAAATCCTGCGAGCTACATTATCGTCGGTCCAGGCTGTCCTTTCCACGCTTATTGTGTCTTGACAATCGCAAGGTGGACAGGGGTCATCATCACGAAGGTTTATGACACGCAGGAGGTTGATCAATCGAATGGAAGAGGCATACATTGCTATGGTTATATCAATTGAGTATAGAGTATCGGGAGGGAGGCACTAACCTAATTTGGGGTAACAATGTATTGTCGTTGGTTTAATATAAGGTTAAATTAAGGAAGGTTTCCACGTTAAAGATGACATGGTCAAATTGTTGTCCACATAAGCTGATACACGTTAGTAATGACCCTTATACCGGTAATATTTTCTCATATTCCTTTAATTAGCCGATATTTACTAACAATAAAGATCAATCGAGCACAAAAAAAAACTTTTAGTGACTAAATGTGCAAATTGACCCTAGAATCCAGTGTCAATTACTTAATCTTATATTCTCTTTGCATAAAAATATGATAAGATACCATTTTCACTAACAATCCCATTACTTCATAGTACTTACTATAAATCATAGTGTTGCCTCATATTGTCTTTTTAATTAAAAAATATAGTTGGTGGCAACAGTAGTAACATTTTGATGGTGATAGTTCTATGGTAGAGCACGTGTTTTTATGTGACAATTGTCGCCATGTATGTATGTAACTACAAGCACATACATAAAACATATAATCACAAACAAACAACTCCATATATATAAGCTATTGTATCAAAATCAAGCATGATCATATTTTAAATACATATGCATTTTGATAATACATTCAAAGAGTTGATATAAACATACCGGATAACTAGTATGACACATGATTTCAATAATATAATGTGTTATATATATATATATATATATATATATATATATATATATATAACAAAATTGTAACTTTCGGGTAAAATGAACCAATTGTTTGGGACTTGTGGTCCATGCTATTTAGGCAACATAGCCCTCCTCCATAACTACAGGGGACCATTTTGTCAAACTCTTTTAGGTAGATTTTGTGGAAAGACATCGTACTATGTCACTACTTTTTAGGTTGTTTTTAATTTTCTTTCTTATTTTAATTTTTAGTTATACATTTTTTAACATCCAAAACATTATTAACACAAAAGTTATTAATACATTTAACTGTTTCATGGTTACTGATTGAATTAAGGTTTGACTTAGTCGTACACAACTCTAATCTGATCAAATAGAAAGAATACTAGATGAGTCATGATCCAATAAAAGACTTCTAAATGAGATATCAATCATTCTGAATTTAACCGAGTCACACGTAACTTTTTATCAGACTCAATTATATCAAACAACTTCTAAATTTCAATAAACCGATATAATTTTCAGATAGTTACAGAAACTATTGTGGATATTTTTTTTTTATCTAAAACTATTATTATTATCTTTTTAAAATGTATTATGCTTTTTTAGCATTTTGACAAACTGGTTTCTTCTTATTATAAAAAGAATTGAGAATTCAATAACTAGTGTGGACTTTGTACGTACCGCCTTGTGTTGTGGTACCACTTCATATGGAAAAGAAAGGGAAAACGAAAATGGTCCAACTTTTTCCTTTTTTCTATGATTTATAAACATAAGTAAGAATGATAACGATATCAAGATTCAATAATTTTCGTATAATTGATGAAATATGAAACATATACGAGTCATGTTTTTATTATTTTTGTCAAGACTGAATCGAAACATATAACCAAGTTGTCAGTGTCAGAGTTTAAACATACTAGCTATCTAATGCATGTTAACTATTTTGTGATATGTTCTTTTGTTTTGAGTTATTGAATAGATGTATATATCTATATTCATTTTTTGCAAATCTTCGTATACCATTGTGTTCATAAAAAATGTAATACTTTTTGAATACTTGATGAAATTGAAATCGGTCTTTTTATACTAATCACTATATCCATTAAAATACAAAGAAATTTAAAGATCTAAGAAAGTAAGTGGTTATAAATAATTTACAACAATTAATCTTCAAGAAAATCAAATATAATAGTTTCAATGAATTGCTTTTGTAGGAATTAATGTTTTCTGCATTCAAACAAAAATAATACAAAATTATAAATACAATAATAATAAAAATAGTTCGATCAGTTATTAATATCACAATCTAAAATTGTGAATTTGGGCGCACATTGCACATGGACTTTTGGTAGAAATGGCAAAGTGTATCGACGGAAGGCACGTCCCTTGAATAAAAATTGTTTGCATTATTACAAAATGCTTTGTCCCTTTCTTTTCAAAAGGGAAAAAACAAATAGTGCACCAAATTTATCGTTAGATACAAACCATATTTAAAATTGTGTGAAATCTTTGTTACGTATTTATTAATGTATTATTGGAAATCCATTACACATGTTCATAATAATTTTGATGAATGATTTATGAATTATTATAGAAATTAATCATTTGGAAAAACCAAACTAGGCCATACACAACAAAAGTTATAACTTATAAATCGGTGATGTCAAAGTTGTCAAAATCAAGATCTTATGTACGATTGGTTTTAGGATTTACAAGATCAAAATTATAAGATTGGGATTTAGATACTAAGATCCCAATATATATATATATATATATATATATATATATATATATATATATATATATATATATATTGTAACTTATAAGTTCAAAACATGGAAAATATTTTCAGTATTTAGTTTTTCAATCAAAACCTATAAAAACTTCTAAACATTGGTCATAACAAAATAAGGTAAACGGTAAATCGATAAAGAGTAAAAGTTGTAAAGTGATAAATTCATTTTTTTTTTATAACTTTGACTTTTTTTTTTTTTTTTTTTTTTTTTTTTTTTTTTTTAAATTTCAAAAAAATAAAATAAAGGGGGGGGGGGGGGGGGATCAGATTATAGCCGATTCTACGATCCTATGATCTTACTTACGATCCTACCCCAAATACGATCCATATATGCCTTGACTCGTTTTTCGTATTTAGGATCGTTGTAACAGTCATTTTCCGGATTTGATCAATTCAAAACTTAAGGATTTCAAGGATAAGGTTTTGGGGAAAAACCTTTAGCCACGACGCGGTAGGACATGGGCCACAACATGGCCACACCATTTAAATGATGAGCGTCTTTGAATGTTGACCAAGGCATGGTCAGGTAATCGCCACAGTGCGGTGGCGGTTGATTCCTAAAGCCTAGAGTTTGGGTCTTGGGCCCTATTTAAGCAACATGATGGTTAGTGCCACACCCCCAAACCGAAACGGTGGAAACGTTCAGGAGTGGAGGACGTCATGTGTAGTATCACAACAATTGCATCATAGTAATCAAAGTAAACACAACCATTACATTAAGATATGAATATTTACATATGTTTGGTTCACTGTTTGTGTACATCAAAAGTAGCAAAAATATAAAGACGAGACTCTGAATGCTCCGTCTTCTGAAAGCCGGGAGAGTACCTGTCTACTGATTTCCTTAGAATACAAGCGATTTTGAAAGAGTATCAGCATAACGCTGGTGAGTTCATAAGAATGTTTCTGTAATGAAATCAGTCACTGAATTTTGAAAAATGTATGCATGTTTCCCAAGAAAATACTCTATCATGTATGTTCGTTACTGTATTTTGTTCAAAAGCCATGACCAACACTTGTATGTATAGTATGTTCTATTTGAAAACCCTGGCTACCACCAGTATGTATAGTATGTTCTGTTTGAAAACCCTGACTACCACCAGTATGTATGGTATGTTCTGTTTGAAAACCCTGGCTACCACTAGTATGTATAGTATGTTTTATTATTTAAAATAAAATCGTGTATTGTGTAACTCCCGTAGATCCGGGCTAGTCAAATTAGAGACGATAAGTATCAAAAATGACTTTTTGATGGAAGACTATTTAGAAGGATTAATCTTAACCAAGTTGTAGTATATGTCACAAGGTTTCCGTGCATATAAAGAACGCCAAAATCCGAGTTATAACGAAGAAGTTATGACCTGTCGAAGTTTCGCGACAGAACCGGCATGACCCAGCACGACCCAGCGCCACGTAAATAGTGAATCTAAGGTAGATAGATATCTATCCTTAGTGATCTAAACAAGAGTCGAAGATGTCTTCGATAGTAGTCCAACGATAAAAAGACAGACGAAAACGGAGTTCAGATGAAGGAGTTATGAATTTCGAACGGAGTTTTCCTGTCCCGGCCCACTAAAGATAATATATAAGTAATATACTTATAATATATTAAAAATAAAGTCAAAATTAGCCAATGGAGTCTAAACGAGAGTTGTAGATCATAATCTCACCTCCGCGTCGATAAAAAGAACATCGAAAACGAAGTTCGTATGCGAAAGTTATGAATTTCTGAAGTTCAGGGCGCGAACCCTAAAGCTGTGTCAGAGACCACAACGTGGCAAGCAGTGTCACGACGTGGCAGGTCTTCTGACACCTCTGGGAGTCTCCCAGATGCAACTTGAGATGACGCATGCAGTGACGATCAAGCCCACGGCGTGGAAAAAGGTTCCATGACGTGGCAAGGGCCAGTTTTGCCCTATAAATAGATTTGAAGGGCTAGCCGAGTTTGGTTGCTCATTCTCTCATCTCTCTCCCATATTACATCGTTTTACGTGCAATTTTAACCCCCCGAAGCCCTGGTATCAACCCCGAGACCCGAAGCAAGTTCCGAAACCCGAAGATCCCGAGAAGAAAAGAGTTTCCGAGCCGAAGCTCTGCCCGCGAGAAACCCGGTGTGTGAAGTGATCCCGGTTTCACCGAAGAATATCTACTTGAAGAGCTATAGTGCTGTCCGATCATCTTCTGATCAAGTGAGTGTATAGTCACTTTCATCTTACACATAGATATGAAGTATTTTATAAAATGCGTGCTATGTGTATATATATATTGTTGTTTATACATGTGATTGTGTGGTCACTTTCATCTTACACATAAATATTAAGTATTTGCTATAAAATACGTGCTATGTATATAATATAAAGTTGTTTATATGTGTGAGTGTATAGTTCCTTTCATCAAGACGATTATAATACAAGTATTGTTTAAATGTATTAAGTATATGTTTTGGGTGAGTGTGTGGTTACTTTCTTCTAACACATAAATATTAAATATTTGCTATGAAGTATGTGC